GTATACACTGGAGCAGCTTTCAGAGCAATCATGTGGAGTCCTGTGCACTGTAAACCATCCTATTTTGATGCCCCACAGAGCTCAATAAAATATTCTTGCTTAAATTACTTAAATCTTCAATTCCTTTCCATGTAAGAGGAGAAAAATATAACTCTAAAATAAAGCTGAGCTGTAGAGAAGCATCCTTGAGTCACTTATATAACCAAGGGAATGATAAATTGAAGATAGTCATTTATAATTATTAAGCAGAATCAGCTTAGTGATGAAACACACAATTGCAAATAATAGATTCTAAGTTCAGTACAATGTTTTCTATTCCTTGGTGTTATGTCATAACAGGTTAAGAAGAAACAAGTATACAAGGTTTACTTATTCAAACAAAAATATAATATTTGCATACTTACTTTCATCTACTGCAAGAGTGCCAACTAAAAAACAGGTGAATGGCTTCTTTCTACTTTGCTTAGCATGACGATGGGCAAGCCGCAGTGTTTTTTCAGCAATTATTACTTTAGGATTTCTAAGAGATAACAGAAACAGAATTTACTCTTTATGAACATACCAAACTAAGACATTCAACTATCCCCCAAAACTATTAATTACAAGGAAAAACAGCCCACCAGGGGGAAAAAACAATGGGATAGAAGTTGAAGAAGCAATTTCAGGTTATCATATCTCAGTCACTTCCCCTCTGGTTGACAATGCATTCTATACCCTGAAAACCACTTAGAAGCTATAATAGGTCAAGAAGGTGGCTGCAGAGATAGTTGTGGACATCCCATGTAAGATCTTTACCTACTGAGCTGCATTGGCTACTAGTAAGATTCCAATTACAATTCGAATGTTGGTTGTCTTCTATAAAACCTTTCATGGCTTACAGTCCTATTATGTTGGGACCTCTTTTTCTTGTTGTTTTTACCCAATTGGTTAGATGTGGTATTGTTGGCACATTTGCGCTATCTTGTGGGATTTAGGAAATATACTGCAGCTACATTTATAGAACAGCATTTCCCGTGAGCTTTGTATGGCTCAAAACTTGATGTGTATGGACAAAATTGAAAAATCATAGCTCTTTCAATAGGCCCCGAGTAGGATGAGGTGATGCATTTCCTGACATAATATTTTGACTTCTTATTAGGATATTTTCTCCCACTAACGTGATGCATTTATTGTTTGCTCTTTTCTTATGCTGATATTTTATATTAATAGGTAAGCCTCTCAGAAGAAGAATAGTATGGTGGCTTAGTAGTAAAGACACTTGTCTCCAATTCAGAAGGTTGAGAGTTCAGTTCTAGGTAGCGACAGATATTTCTCTCTTAGTGCAAAGAGAAAATATCTGCTGTGAATTCCACATAGGCATCAGGAAGGGCATCCAGGCAGTAAATGCTCAGCTTCATTTAGTTGCCTTAACTTTACCCCAAATTAAGGGATTACAAGCTCGTTAAAAAAAAGTAAGCGTCTCAGAACAACTTCAGTGATTGAAATGGCATACAAGTTGATAAAGTTAAAAAACTCTAGGAGCATCACTTTGATCCTTCTCAAAATTTGACTCTAGTTTATTTTATTACCTAGTCCAAGAAAACCCGTTTCAGTGTTGACATTCTGTCCTTTACATACAGCAAAGGGAACTCCAAATCTTACCATGGATATATTACATTATATAACCTAATAATAAATAATAAATTGGAAGGAATACAGTAATATTTAAGGATTAACTCAGTTCCCAATCACTGGTAGATGAAATGAAGAAAATCACTAAAAATGTTTGGTGCTTCCAAACACCTAAAATGATGAACCTAAAAGATTACAAGTCTTACCTATAACTTAGGTGAGAAACAGTGCTTTCTCCAATAGGAGCTGGATTCCAAAGTGCAAATTTTGATGCAGGAAAACTAAAGGATGGCATCTTTCCCCAAACCCCTCTGAAACATAGAACCATTTTAGAATTTAACATATTTGATTTTGGTATAATTGGAGAAAAGATGATGACCAATGTTCAGATATTTCACCTTAGTGTCCATAATTATATACTGTAAATAACCAGTTTGCAAATTCCAGACAGCCTACATAACTACTAAACTACTAAACAAAACTACTAAATCAATATTACAGAAAAGAAACAAATTATCTTCAGTACAAACATATTTATTCACATCAGTAGTCTTTAAAATCATTACATCTGAACAAAATATCAGTAGTACCTTTGGTTTTGAGATTCAGGGGAAATTGGTTCCATGATATGTATGTATGAAATTCAAGTTTGCTATTCTGTAAGAAAATGTAACATAGGAACATTAATTGGCATTAATTTTTGGCATTAATTTTTCAGCAGAAACAACTTCTATTTTTAAGTATCACTAATCCTAAGAAAGATGTATTTTAGTTTCAGCATAGTTATATTTCAGCAAATATAATTACAATTAACAATTTCTGCAGCACAGCAGATATAACTACAATTTACCATTTCTGTAAATTGTATATCTGCAGCAATTTATATGCATAAGGATCGGTGTTTGATTTTCCCGGACACTTCTGCGCTACTGAATAACCTATTTGAACCTTATTATACAAGCCTCAACCCATGCTTTGTATAAAAAGGGAGATTTAGAATCATTACAAAAGGAGGGGAGAGAAACGCCCTATATTCATAAGAATGGAAACGATAAAAGAATTTGTACAAAAAAAAGAATACCCGCATCAAGAGCAATATCGCCCCATTTACCTCACAACTCGCATTAAGACTCCGTTTTTATTCCCGGGTCACTACAGCCGGACACAACTATCAACCAAAGCAACTGAATTCTTATTCCCCTCCTGTTGTGGCGGCTCCAATGGCGGCACAATCACCCAATCCGAAGTCCCCGACGGCAACTCGGCTTAGCCAATCAACGCTTTTAACGAGCGCTATCCTCCGCCCATCGCCCTTTTCGAATCGTTCCTTTGGTGTCAATCAAACAATCGCTCCCGCCTACTGGTTTGTCATAACCAATGACCAAGCTTCTAGTGAAATAAAACCGCCTTTTAAGCTTGCGCGCCCGCGCGCATCTCTTAAGGGTGGGATTTTAAAAACGGGTTTCTTTTAAACGGCCTCAAGAAGCCCAGCTACTGCGCAAGCGCTAAGGGTAAGGCAAGGGGTGTTGCCATAGTAATCGCTTCTAAGGCTTCCAGCAAAGACAGCAGCCGTAATCGCAAACACCTTTGAGCAAATATAATTAGGAAAGGTCTGTTAATGACTTTACAACCTAGATACTGTACTGGTTCAGAAGTAAATCTTAGGTACGTTGGCTGGGTTAGGAGCCTTATGTTCGGGCCTTCAAGTTCAGTTGGGGCTTAATCCCAGATAAATGAGTGTAGGATTGCAGCCTCTTTTAAGTTGCTGCAAGACCAGCTCCGTAAATACCAACAAGAAGTAATTTGATAGTTGTTAATCTACTTTCTCTGCACCTACGTCAGATAACTAAGGGCAGAAGCAGTGCTGTTATGTGTGGTTTGTAACACTGGAATAACCTGCCTGACTGAAACACACTGCCTTTTCGTTCACTCTGAAGCAGTGTTTCTCAGCCTCAGCAACTTTAAGAGGTGTGGACTTCAAACTTCCAGAAAGCCCCATCAGCCAGCGTGAAATTGAAGTCTACACCTCTTAAGGTTGCTGAACTTGAGAAAACGCTGCTCTAAAGCTGGTGGTATTTGAGTCACTACTAGAAAACAACAAAGAGATCTATCCTTCTTGTTTTCCAGGGGCATTACAATAGACTAGGTTCTGAAATCATTAGCATTAATGCAACCAAAACCATTTCATGGCATTATGTGAAAGTACCACCCATCTGAAGAACATCAAGTTGATGAAGATTGGTCTAATTCTTATAACTTGTATCCTCAATAGGTTTTCATAGGCAAGGCAGCAAAGAAATTATTTCCCCTACAAAAAGTATATTGCTTTATATAGCACAATAGACCTTTCGAATAGGCAATTTTGTCCTTTTACACAAGACTTTATGAAAATAAAAAGTCATTGTGTTGACTTGGAGAAAAATAATTTTCTGGCCATACTGAGTAAAGAAATTCTTAATTACAAACTAAGAATTTTAGGCTATGGAGAGCCTTGTGGCTACTTAACTGATTTAAGTTTTGTCAACTATTTTCTTTACCTGGCTTATTGTTTGAACTTTAAAATAAAAAATGCCTTTAAAATTCAGTACTAGAATATTTCCAAAGATTTATGAGCTACATAGAGCTTATATCTCTCACATTAGTGACTTCTCTAAAATCAACTCACTTCTCAAGAAGTTTTAAATTTATTTCAACATTTTGTATAGAAAATCCAATTAAAAAATGAGAGTTTCCAAGAATAGTACCAAATACCTGCTAAATGTTCAACTTGCTATTTCGATGTTGTCTTATGCCCTCAAATATGCCAAATAGAATTGGACCATAGAATTAAAGACAGAAGCACTTTCTTGTTAATCATCATACAATAGATAGGATTGTGGTGTTTTGCCAAGAAATAGAAGTAAAAATTTTTTTTGGGGGGAGGCAAATTGTGGCATTCAAAAATCCACCGTCTAGGTTTTTAACAAACACTATTTATTGAATTTATATATGTAAACAAACTTATACAGCCGCCCAACTTTCACACAGGTAATTCTGGGCAGCTTACAATATTAAAAAAAAAACACAACACAAAAACCATACCCCCGCCCTGCATTAGAGGTAGTACAAGACGTATTATACCATATATTACAACACAAGAGTTGTTTCTCAATGAAATCGACATTAGCCAACACCCTTTAGATTTCCATCGGGTGAATCGAAGCTGTTTTTCCAAAGCGACCTTACTGGTTCCTTGACACCCGCCCATCTGCCCTGCCTGCCTTCATCGTAACTTTACTGTAATTGTCTTCAAACCGCTAACCCGGCCCGCCCCACCAGGCCTTTCTCCGAGCTTCTCTCCCTCCCACATCAGCGAGAACGACGGAAGGATGGGAACCCGGAAGCGCTTTCGCTTCCTGGTGACACAGTACAAGCCACCTCAGCCGGAGGAGTCGGCGGCTGGCTGTAGTCGTGGCCGGTTTCTTCCCCTCATTTCCCTCCCTCTTTTTCGGCGGCGCATGTTTTGTCGTTCTCTCTTTGGGTCAATTGCCGGTCGTGCAATTGCTTCGCTTCTTCGCCTCCACGCTTTTGCCGCTCCTGCCTCCCTTTCACCTCGCTTGCTGCTCCTCATGAAGCCGGTAGTTGTCTTCGTTCTCGGCGGGCCTGGAGCCGGAAAGGGAACCCAGTGTGCCCGCATTGTGGAGGTAAGGGAGGGGATAGCGCTTCGCTTTTTCTGCATTTCTGTTCCTTACTGTCGGGAAGGAACTACAATTTCTAGCATGCGGTGTATTTCAAAGAGTGCCGGCAACTTGCTTAGTCGGAGGGTAAAGAATGATGGGGCCTGAAGTTCTTTAATGGTTTGCGGTCCGGAAGATTCTTACAATATTGTATTGCAAATGATCTGGTGTCGGATCTGACGGGTTCAGGTACCCTATCAAAAACGGGTACTCCAGAACGGTTACCCGAGTTTTAGTGACTAAAAAAAAAAAAAGCATAATTCAGTACATTCAGAAAACTCAACTTTTAGGGAAATGTGAGGTAAATGGGGCGATATTGCTCCTGATGCGTGTATTTTTTTTTTTTTTTTACAAATTCTCTTCATCTTTGTTGTTTCAGTTCTTATGTATTGGGCGTTTCTCTCTCCTCCTTTTGTAACCTTCTCCCTTTTTATACAAGCCTGTATTGAGGCTTGGATAATAACGTTCAAATACTTTACTCAGGAAGCGCAGAAATGTCTGGAGAAATCAAACTCCGATTCTTATTTATTTATTTATGAGACTTATATACCGCTTTAACTGCAAGCACTCTCTAAGCGGTATACACCAGTAAGCAATGTATATATATACTTACATTGCCCCCAACAATCTGGGTCCTCATTTTACCTACCTCGGAAGGATGGAAGGCTGAGTCAACCTTGAGCCAGTGAAATTTGAACCGCTGACCTGCTGAACACAGTCAGCTAAAGTGGCCTGCAGTACTGCACTCTAACTGCTACGCCACCTCGGCTCGGCTTATTCTGCGTTGGATTGCCTTGACTATGGCCTTGGATACTTTTTTCCCCTTCTAACTGGTTAGGGTTAAACAGGAGGCTCAATATTATCAGCTGTGGTTTCTATCAGTCTTCCTAAAGTAATTCATCAACCTATAGATCAGTGGTGGCGAATCTATGGCACTAAAGCCAGAGGCAGCACTCAGAGCCCTGTGGGCATGCATGCTGTCGCCCCAGCCCTGCCTCCCCCCCCCATAGCTCCCTCCTCACCAGCAGCCCTCCCCCTGAGAAGAGTCACCCCCAGGTGCGGCCTGTGCAGAGCTGCACAGCCAAGCACATGGCATCTGGGCAGCAGATGATGCTGCGGGGTGCGGGTGGAGGGCGTGGCCACCATGGTGCTGCAGGGCCGCCTGGGCAATCTGCCGCGTGCCGAGGATGGCCCTGAGGGTGGGTAGGGTGAGGCTAGAGCAGGGCGGATGGAGCGGGGGCAGGGTGGTTTTTGGGCACTTGGTCTCTAAAAGGTTCGCCATCACTGCTATAGATTGTTCATATCTCAACAATGTACATTAAAGGTGAACAATTTTATTCATTCCCCAGCAAATAATCATGTTAAAAACTTTTGGGGAAATTTGGATTGATAGTTTTATGTAGATTAAAGTTTGAAACTTGAAGATACTAGACAATTACCTTAGCAAAACCTAATGTTGTCTAATGGCGCATGAAAATGGCCTTTAATTTGTACACAGGGTATGGTCCTTTGAGATTGAGATACTGTAGTCAATAAATGCTATATCAATAGCTCTTAGACATATGTACCGCTTCATAGTGCTTTGCTGCTCTCTCTAAGCGGGTTACAGAGTCAGCATATTGCCCCCCAAAATCTGGGTCCTCATTTTACCAACCTTGGAAGGATGGAAGGCTGAGTCAACCTTGAGCTAATGAGAATCAAACTCCTGGACCGAGCAGTGAAAGTAATTTACTAATTCTGCTTTAAATCTTTCAAGGTTGTCATTTTAGCAGTTTAGTATTTGCACTTATTTAGAATTTTAGCTTTATATTGATTTGCTTACTTGCTTGCTTGTATCCTGCCTTTATTATTTTTACAAATAACTCAGGGCAGTGAACATATCCAATACATCTTCCTCGTCCTACTTTTTCTCATAATAGCAACCCTGTAAGGTGAGTTGGCTGAGAGTGACTCAGAATAATTGGCCCAAGGTCACCCAACTGGCTTTCATAACTAGTGGTACTAAAACTCCTGGTTTTTTTAGCCTGGAACTCTAACTAGATTAACCACAAGGTTAACAACAAAGAAAAACTGGTGTTTCCTTTTTCCTCATATTGTTCTTTGTATCTTGTAACTTTATTATATTTGTCACAATAAATTTGAAGGAGAACTTCAGTTGATGGATATATACATATTCTTTACTTACAAATTCTTCTGTTTTTTATCAATAATTTCAAGATGTTTCCATTTTCAAAGAAATATGATGGGGGGAGGTGCCAGTGTCTTCATTTTATGTTTGCCTTTCTGTGAATCTTATATTGTATATCTTCTAAATAGCTTAAATTGTTTTTGAAATATTCAAAGGAAATATATGAAGGAGAGTTGAAATGAGAAGTCCTCGGTGCTCTCTGAGCCTAGTTGTTTTCTTGCAGACTTTTCATTACCCAAAGTAGGTAACATCAGTGCTAGTAAGGAGTGGGATTTGCTCTCAGTTTATATTCTAGTGGCTTGCCCTATTAGTTTTGGTGGGGGTGGTCTTAGAGGTTCTTTGGTTGGGCTGTTTACTGTTGGCTTATTTGGCCAACCCAATACAGCACAATCAACACAAGCCCTAAAAAGAATAACATTGCTATACATCAAGGACATCTCAGAAACCACCAACAAACACATGGAACCAGCATAGCACACAAGCCAACTAAAGCCCTTCAAAACATCCTGAACAAACCAAAAGACTCAGCAGCCCCAGAAAAAAAAAACAGAGTCATCTACAACATAAAGTGTAATGATTGCAACAACTACTATATGTAGGACAAAAAGGTAGAAGACTGGTAGAACACATCCATGAACGCCAACTAGCAATCTGAAGACATGATGAAAACTCTTTAATTTAACAACATATGGATAGACTTAACCATACTTTCAATTGGGAAACTGTAATCATCCTAGACCAAGCCAAAAATGCTAGGGAATTTCTAGAAGCCTGGCTCTCTGGCAAATTAGTCATCAATAGACACATAGACATAAACAATATCTATAAACTATGCAAAAGAGATAACCAGCAAACCAAAAGAGAACAAAAAGACCTAAGCACCTCTCCACCAGCAATTAGCACCCGATGAACATAGATTAACTCCAAGATTAACATTAGACCAACAATCAAATAAACAATACCCCAATCAAGAAACTGCCAAAGAAGCCAACAGTAAACAACCAAACCAAAGAATCTCAGAGATCATCCCATGACAAGAATCAGCTTGCCATATTTTTATCTTGTATATTTTATTGATTCTATTGTGCTTTCTTTGTTATGAATCACCCAGAGCTGTTGAGAGTTGAGCAGCCTACAAATTTAATGAACATTGATTGGTCACATAGCCACCCAGATGTTTAGACTGGATTTGGCATTTTGTCCACTTACTGAATTTTTCTCAAGGATAGGAAGATATTCTTTAATCAGATTAAAGGTATTGTTGCAGGATGTAAGCTGTTCCAAGTAAAGCTGTGTTTTGCAATTTATGGATGGTGATCTTGTCATTGCTGAAGATGTTGAAGTGATGCTGCAGATGTTTTGGAATTTCATCAATGCATCTATTGCTATTGGTACTATCTTTGCTTTCTTTTGCCACATTCGTTCTACTTCTATTTTCAGGTCTTCATATTTTGTGATTTTTCTCCAGTTCTTTCTGTCCTATTCTTCTTCTGCTGTTTCCAGGTATTGCAATATCCAATATACAGATTATTTTTGTCTTTCTTATTGACAGTTATTAAGTCTGGAGTGTTATTTGTCAGGTACTTGTCTGTTCAAATTCTAAAGTTCTAAAGCGTTTCAGCTTCTACATTTTCTACTTTTTGTCTATTTTATGGTCTCAACAGCACTTGCTTGCAGGCAAAGGGCATTTCTTGCAGATATTCCAGTGCATCATTGTTGCTATTTTTTCATGGTGTTGTTTGTAGTCGGTCTGTGGAATCTTCTCGCAGTAGTTAATTAGATGGTCCACTATTTCTTCAACTTCTTTGAAGAGACAGAATATGCTGTCTGTTGCTATCTTCTTAATTCTGGCTTTGTATGCATTTGTTCCTAAGGCTTGGTCTTGTACTGTACTGGTCTTGTACTCTGTGTCTTTTTTCAGTTTTTCTGCTCTTAGCCAGTGCAAGATCTTGTTATCTGTTTTGTCAGGTGGTTTTATCATTATTATTATGGTTGATTGAACAATCAGGCAAGTGTTTAGATTGGATTTGGTATTTTATCCGAAAATTATAATAATATTATTATATTTAAGAATAAAATAGATCAGATGTGAGCAACCTGACAGTGATACTACTAATAGAAATGTTGTAACATTGATAGGAAAAATGAACAAAAATACAGACATGCTGTTGATTTTTCACATTAATTTTCTCATCTTACAATTTATATGGCCACACATCTCATAAATGAATTTGGGTGGCATGCAAAAATTAAAATCAAACAGTAAAATGAATCAACTATCCAAACCACAAATGTTTGAGATCAAAGAAATCATTCCCAATTTATAACTGAAAAGAACAGTAATAAAACCAATAAATCAGCACAGCTCGCTTAGTTTCCTCCCCCAAATATTTGAGACAACAGCCAGGTCTTTATTAATATCATGTAAAGAAAATAAACTTATCTAATCAACTTTTTATGTGGATTTAATTTAATTATGTTTTCTTTCCTTTAGAAATACGGTTATACTCATCTTTCTGCGGGTGACCTCCTTCGAGATGAGAGAAAAAGACCAGGCTCTCAGTATGGAGAACTTATTGAAAATTATATTAAGGATGGGAAGATTGTACCTGTACAAATAACAATCAGCTTGTTAAAGAGGGTAAGTTTAATTCAATTTCCCATATAAATCTAAAACAAAACATTAAGGTATTTATGTACTTTAATTTGACATTTAGTTTACACTTTTCACGAAAGAATGCTTTTCTTTTTATGAGCCTAGATAAATCCATGAATAGATAATTATTCAAAATAATTTCATTAGATATTGTCAGGCCCAAGAACCAAGAAACATATGTGGTGATTCTTCCAATCAGAGTTCTTTATTGTCCCATACTTACAGATAGAATCTTGCCAAACTGAAGCACTCTACTATCTATAACAAGCATATATTCTGAGAACTATTAGGGCGAGTCTGTTTTCACCCTCTTTGTTTCACACAAAATATCTGGACTGAGCTGCCTCTTATTTCTCTGGAATGCACCCTTTCCTCCTAAGAATCCAACCTATTGCATTTCAGCACAGATATGTGTTACTTCTCTTTTCATGATAAAGACAACATTCTGGGCTGAAGCACTCTATTTCAGCGACATGTGTACGTCCTCTGATATACTTTGACCTAAAGTAGACCTGAAGTGTACTATGTTTTGTAAACTGAATCTTTTCAGTTTCTTCAAATGAAAAAATTGCTAACTACAGAAGAGGCAGTAGTATTATGAGGATAGATTATCTTCTTGTCTTCTAACCAAACAGAGATATAATTAATACGTTTGAGAGAGACAATAAAGCAATATTCAAAAACTGTTGAATAAGTTTTGTACTTCAATAGCTTTGGTGATTACGGAGCATAAAAAGAAAAATCTAAAATTTCATTTGCAATTCAACATAATTCCTTAATTCCTGTATTTCTTGACAGTTGTTTTCCTTGGAATATGCAAACATGTATTTCTGTACTGTTCATTGTAGTCAAAGTTCCTCAGAGAATGTCATCTTTGTAAATCTAGGATTACCAGAACTGGGACACACCAGAGTGTGGAAAGACCCCAAATGCATCAAAGAGTTATCATAGTGGTTGTCGCACTTTTTGCCACCCAGATTTGGAAACCATATTCGGCCTCACCCTTAAAGTAACACTACATTTTTTGAAACTTGGCAGATGTTATTCAAGTAGAAGTATGATATCATTCCAATTAGAACTGTTTTATTGATTGCATATATTATTGTCTCATGTCCTGTTTTAATCTGAGATATTATTCTATAGGCTATGGATGAAACTATGGCAGCTAACTCTCAAAGGAATAAATTCCTAATTGATGGATTTCCCAGAAATGAAGATAATCTTCAGGGCTGGAACAAAACAATGGATGAAAAAGTGGATGTATCTTTTGTTCTCTTTTTTGACTGTGATAATGAGGTAACACTAATACATTTCCTCTTATACAGAACAAATAAAGACTATTAGGTTTCTCACCTACATATTGTACATCAGGATTTAAGTTAGTTAATATTCAAATGTCTTGTTATTTTTCCCCAGGATGTCTATGTAATTGTTTGGCAAGCTGAAAAATATTATGTTCTCCTGGAGTAATTATTGCACCAGATATGAGTTGTAAAAGAGATATTATCTTTTTGCATCAAATAATAGTATGAAGAAGTATGTTCTAGATTGAAATATTGTCTTATGGCAAAAAAAAAATATCAATGTTTATAGTTCCATTTCATCTTTCACTTTGATTGCTTCATTTTTTTTTCTTTACAATTTTCTGCATTTGGGGTCAGAATCTTATATAAACATAGCTGCCACCCTTGCACATAATTCGGAATTGTTCACAATTCCTGCTATAAATGAACTTCTCCTAACTATAAATGAACTTTGAACTGGTTTATGTAGACAATTTGCTAATTTTTTACTCTTCTGCCTGATATGATTAATAAAACAGAGACAATTTGCAGTGTGATTCACAAATCCAAGATAGCCAGTCATCTTTCTCAGACAAGCCTAAGTCACAAAACAAGAGTTATTTGTGTATACATTTTGTCTTTGTTTCCATTTGGCATTTCTATTTATTGTGAGGAGTATATCCATATTTATTCACTATACACTATCTGACTATATTATTCCAAATAGACCAATGCTTTGAAAGGAGATAATTTATACTTTTTCAGAGAAGGTTTAATGTTCCGAACAGTTTTGGTTTGGCTTTGTCCAAAGTAAATGCACATCATTTTTAAAAATCCTGATAATAAAGCCATAATTTTTATCACAGTGATAGCTTTTAAAGCAGACAAATAGAAAGTTATTTTGGTCATTGACCAATAACAATACAATCAATAAAATGAACAACAAGAACTCTTAGCAACCATTTGTGAGCGAAGTTTATACATAATGTACCTAAATTTTGTTACTTTTAGAGAAAAAAATATCTTAATTTAACAGATAAGAGCTTTCCGAGTGCCACACAAATTTAAATAAAAGAGGGGTAATAAACTGGTGACAAATGACCCTGTAGAACTGGCATTACAGAACAACATGGATACTATTTGTTGTTGATGTGCAGAATGACAAACAGAATATATTCCGCCTAAACCATCAGGCAATTAATCTCAATGTGTCAGATTTAAGTTTTGCATGTAAAATGTTTAGTGTAGAACTTTAATCTCTATTTTTATTTTTCTTTAAGATATGTATTAATCGTTGTCTTGAAAGAGGAAAGAGCAGTGGCAGAAGTGATGACAATAGGGAAAGTTTGGAGAAAAGGTACAGTGCGCAAAACAGAATTTTACTATTTTGGTTTTTTGATGTTTTTCAATTAAATGATTTATTCTTACTTTATTTTTATCTTAGACTTCATACATATCTAGAGTCTACTAAGCCCATAATAGACCTCTATGAGACAAAGGGCAAAGTTAGGAAAGTGGATGCCTCCAAATCTGTTGATGAAGTAAGTTATTAAAAAAAAAAAGTTTGGAATTAAATTGCTTAATGTTTTATATAAAATTGCTCCTGTGGTTTTGTATGTTTCAAATACCTGCTTTTCTTGTATATCAAGTAAAAGTCAATTAATTTTGTGTTGGCCTTAAAAAGATCCTGTTAGTCCAATAATATATTCTTTTTTGTGATCATTGATTTAAAATGGCATGTTATTAAAAATTCAATATGTTGTGCAATATTTCGTGAAGCTTTCATACATGTACAGGATAATATATTCTTAATAGAAAACAGCAACTTAAAGCAGCATAAAGTATGCTTTTAAAACACAGGTGTTGAAATCTTCATTAAGCACACAAATAATGGCAAAGAGTAAAAGTATGAATAGTATCTTCCCCAACCCAGGTAGCCTTGAGATGTGTGGAATCCACCACCATTACTGAAAATTCTGGGACCCTTGTAAATGATGATATACAGGAGAAGGACAAATTGCTCATGTTATCTAATGAAAGAGCTTTGGTAGCTAAAGTTGGAAAGAATTCATGTGATCTGATTCCAAAATCATAGCTTTTTACAGCACAAATTCCACAATTTGAATAATTTATTAACAGAGAAGACAATAAGGGTGAAGATAGAGGTTCTGTCTCTGTGTGATTGACAGATGCAATTATTGATGAATAAAAGGCTAATTTACTAGTAAGTTTTGTTTCACCCATGTTTATGCCTTTTAAAAATCTTTAAAGCATACTTTTTTGTTTGTCTCTGAATCAGTTTCAAAGTTTTCTTGGCAACATTTACAGAATAGTTTTGCCACTACCTGCTGCCTAGAGAGATAGTGACTGGTCCAAAGACACCCAGGAGGCGTTGGGATTGGAACTCATGGTCTCCAGCTTCTAGTCTGGTTCCTTTAACACTATACCCCCAACTGGCTATTTTAAACACATTAGGGATGTGTGTGTGTGTGTATGTGTGTATTTTTATTGTCTACTTTTTACGTGTTTTAGAAACATTGCAATGTATGTGTATTTTTAAATCTGACCACAGAGTTTCAGTTATTGGCTTACAGAAACATAGTAAATAAAAACATACTTCTATAAAGTGTCTATTCTTTACATTAACAATTTTTTAAAAAGAAGAAATAAAGTGTTTTTAAAACACAAAACTGCTCTGGAATTTGAGTGCAAGTTGTTCTGGTCAGAGACCAATAAAATGCCATTATTCTATTTTAATAAACACTTCATGCAGTGCTTTTCTTCAGCCGATGTACAATATAATGTGCAACATTTGCAGTCAGTTTTTCTTTATTTGAACAAACTGGGGCAGGGCTTCCAAACTAAACCCACCATTGCTTTAAAGTTTGCTTTGAAAGTTATTCCCCAACTGTCTTATGCTGATTGTTATGCCAGTCCACTACTGCCTAATGGAAGACTAAGTGTAATGAGTGGAGTGATTGGAAGAATTGAAGAACTGAATTCAGAATTGCTCTGTGAACTCTTACCTATATGCTGCTCATTTTTCACAATGTATCCTGTGTTCTTATTGCTATCATATACAAACATTGTTTCATAATATCTCTTTCAGGTTTTTGGAAAAGTGGTGAATATCTTTGAAAAAGAAGGTTAGCTTTTTCCTTGAACAGAACATCCTTCCAAAATGCTTGAATCTTGCTTTAAGAGCTGCTACAATTGTCCATTTTATAATAGTTATGAAATACGCCTCTTAAAATATGTATGTTTAAAATAATTTTCAAAATTATCATTTCAAACAGCATATAAAATATGGAAGTGGCTCATTAAAATATCGACATTGAAAATGACTTGAAGTTAGGAAAGTATTTTAATTTTAGGAAAAACTAATAATCAAATAGCAAACATATTATTTCTGGAAAGCATGCTTTTTCCTTGTTGCCAAAAACCATGTTTTTTAAGAGTCCCACAAACTGAAATTGTAAATATGAATGAGAGGGCCCATTTAGTTTCTTGATAGTTTTGTACCAAATATAGGAACTTGTATGAGGAAGTTTTATTTTGTACTGCTTAAAAATAAATACATATTTGCTGTTTTTAAGAAGGATGGTTCAGTTTAAATATAGCATACTTTCTGATTTCATACTTTTTGCTTAAACGATTGCTAGGAAATGAAAAAGAATTAGTTAAGATAGGCATCTTCAAACTCGGCCCTTTTATGACTCATGGACTTCAACTCCCAGAATTCTTTAGCCAGGCATGCTGGCTGAGGAATTCTGAGAGTTGAAGTCCATGAGTTATAAAAGGGCCAAGTTTGAAGACCCCTGAGTTAAGACCTCTGAAAAAGTGGTCATTTAACCCACAGAATGGAAACTTCCTGTGTGTTTGGGGAGTGGCTCATTTACAAAACTAATTGGGATACTGCAATATGAAGATCATAGAGACTAATAGACAGCCCAGACCCAGCCCTTGGGTTGGGTTCAACAGAAATGGTTCATACAGATCACAGGGAGACACAGATATTTGAAGTCTCATTATTTCAGTGGGGTGTAAATGTGACTTTCTGAGACAAGCTACTACAAACCAGTGTGTTTAGGTATGTTAAAGATTGAATTTGCAGATTATGTAGGTGCCATTTATTTGTACACGTGTTTACCGGTTATATAGGCATTGAGTATTTGTGATACTCAAAGACTAGGTAGAATTTTGCAATCTGATGTTTGAGGGCAGCTAGTACATCAACATTCTTCTGCCACATATTTTGTTGCATGGTAACTGATGAGGAATTTTGTAACAAAATTGCTTATTTATTCTGTAAGTTGAAGTGTTTGGGGTTGGCTGGAGGAAAATATTCTTCTGACTGTTTTATCCTGATAATTTTGCATAACTTGAAGATTTTGTTCAATTATACTTTTGATATAATTTGACCAATGTAAATGAAACCTTTTATTTTTTAATTCAATGTATGTGTTTAATGCTGTACTGGTGGGAGAAATGAATTTTAAATAAATAATTGCCTATAAAACATACAATTTCTGTGCTTCCTCATTTGTTGTGATTGCATCTTTAAAGTTTAAAATTTGTGTGTAAGAAGACACCACTGAATATCTGGGATGGTGATGTGTTCCTTAAGTTTTTATATAATAGATAGATTGAACAAATAGATTGAACAAATTGAACCGATAGATTGAACAAATCAAGCCAAAGTTGTCGCTTCTCAATGTGCAGATCTGCACTGGCTACCAATTGTCTTTCAGGCACAATTCAAGGTGCTGTTTTTGATCTTTAGGGGCATAAATCTATCCTACTTCGAACAATTTATGCAAAGACCCAACTGTCTTGAAAAAGCTCTAATGCTAGGAAAAGTAGAAGGAAAGAGAAGCAGCAGTAAGGTGGATGGACTCAGTTAGGTGGCAATGAGTGCACCATTGAGACACATGAAAGAACAGATTAGGGACAGACCTTCATGAAGAAAGTCTATATGGTCACTAGTAGTTGAAAATAATTTGATGGCTCATAACCAATTTCTAGTTATAAAAAGTGTCAATGAACTTTTTAAGGAAAATATAGTAAAATATCTCTAGGGAAAGAGAAATCACCCCTTTTCCCGTATATAGCCTTGTAAGAGAAAAATATTAATTGGTAGAGCAACATGCTGTAACTTTAAAAAAAGGCATGATTATTGCAAACTTGGATCAAAATAAAGTGTGTGTGCTCTCTACTTGCTGCTGTTGGCCACAAGGAGGAGTACTTGCTTTGTATTGAATGGACTAAGCTGGTAAAAGAAAAACCTTATGTTCTTAGCGTTCCTGTCCCATGGAAATAACATATAAATGCTCACTATCCCATAGAAGCAATATAATTTAAAACAGGCACTTCATAAGCAAGAATATGTTATACTTCTGGGATCAGATGCCTCTTTGATAAAATGAGTTGCTTTGATGTAAATTGGCCGCATCCAGATGATGAATAGTGAGAGTTGAAATCTCCAACTGGCCCTGTTAGCTGAACCTTATACTATTTATAATCATTACATTTTAAAGAGTCATCCTAAGGACACTATACTGCAGTTCCAGAAATGAATTGCAATATTTGAAGATGTAACTGGCATCAGACAACAATAAATGCAGTGTGAAAAACATTCATCATAGGCATTGCTATAGTTTAGTGTCCAGTAGACAATCTGCCACTTCATTGGCAAATTTCTTTCTTGTGCTGTGAACTTCATTCGGCCTTAACTAAGCTTAATATATACTCATTATCTATCTCCAGAAATATTAGTAGTCTAGTCCAGTGTTTCCCAACTTGACAATTTTAAGGCATGAGGACTTCAACTCCCAGAATTCCACAGCCAGCAATGCTGGCTGTGGAATTCTGGGAGTTGAAGTCCACATGCCTTAAAATTGTCAAGTTTGGGAAACACTGGTCTAGTCTATGTCATTAAGGCTCTCTCTATGTGCAGTTCCTGAGTTTGGTAATCTGAGACATTGGCACAAAGTGTTATCAATAAAAGGCTTTTGACTCTGGCTTTTTTTCCCCCTCTAATCCAGTTGTGGCACTGGGGTCCCATAAAACCCTCTGAAATCACCATTCTCAGAGATTTGGCCCTGATCTAACTTTCTGTATCTCCATTGATACATTTGAAAATGGCAAGTTATTTTGCTGTATTTCCGATTTGATGTCTGGAACTGTCTGAAGGAGAGGCTAAATATCAATTTTATGAATACCTGTTTCTCTGAAGGAAAGTTGCTTGACATAAAATGATAAGCATGAAAAGCAGCCTTTGAGGTGCACTAGGAGTTCAGCAATGTTCTACCTTGGGTGATTTAAAGAGTGCATCTTTAAAGGTAGGGTGGGGCTAGGTGGGCAATACCAAACCAAAAATGTGCCCTTGGTGTGCAGAACTGATGCTGTCTCTCAGGTGTGGCGTCACAAGCTGCTGCAAGCCAAATTCCATAAAAGAAGAAATCCAAGTGCAATCGTCAAGTCTCTGGGAAGAAAGATGCCATAAAAGCCTAATAAAGTCAAAAGCTTTTTATTATTCTAAAATGAGCTGCTCTCTATTTCTGGCCTTTCAGTTTATACTAAAGACTTATCTGCCCTAAAGATTTAGTCTGGACCCAAATCCCATCACCTTGCTTCTTTCTTCTCCAGAATAGAAGCTGTCATCACATCCCAGAATCTTTTAAGTCTGCCTCAATACTTGTTGTCTCTCTTGCTTAATAAAAGATGGCTGGGGGGGGGGCTGTGCATTCAGGTCACCATTCACTGTCAGATTCTTGTCCTTTCACTATTCGCCCAGGACTACTGCTGGCCATGATTGTGCCTAACCAAATCTGTGAAGAACAGCTTTTTTTCTTGAGGAGAAACAAAGCAGAATAAAACAAAGTGAGTCTCCTGTGTTTCAGAATAAATTAGATAGTGAAGATGTATCTCTCTGAGCCTTTCCTCCTGCTCACTTGTGGGAACTATTTGATTTGAATTTTGGCTTTACATCTTGCTGGTTTAATTTTTAATTTCAATTTCCTTTGATATATTGTTGATCAGTTTTATGCTTAAATCACATTGTAAGCCTGCATTGAAAGATCTCTAAAGATCTTTGTACATCAATTTAGCAAATGATAAACTGCCCCTATAGAAAAAAGATAACAGAAGATACATGCCTATGCTGTAATATATCTTTTGTTATAGTATTTTTGTTTTTTATATTTGTTACAGTAGTGGTATATTGATGTCAACATTTAGTGGCCATATAGATAGACTTTCTCCAGATTTGTCTGTTTTCAGCTTAACCTTATAATTCTGTATATTTTTTTGTGCCTTGAAGACAGAATGGATAAAATCTAATTTAGGGGTATAAAAAGCGTCAAAGTTGCATATAGCCTGCTGATATTCTTTTTGCAACTTCTAGTACCCACCTTAAGGAGGAAGTCAATCATTTCAGCCAATTAAAGACACCAGCTTCCCTTTTTTGAGCCTTGGGTATTTTTGAAATGGAGCCTCAGCAAAGTTCTGTTCAATCATGAAAATGATGGAGCTCAGATAGTCCCAATCCCCTTTAAATCACAGTTTCTTATGAATGACCCTGCTTCTTTTTAGAAGCTCTAATGCCAGACCCAATAATTAATTACAGGCCCATTGTTCAATTGTGGAAGGACACATAGTTCATGACTGCTGTTTCTCATCTCTGCTGGCTAAAGTGGGGTATTCAGAATGTGACGTGGAGGTTAACTGAATTCTACAGAAGTCATTTGTATGTACTGTATATTTGTGTGAATATTCCTCATTTCCAGATATATCATCTGGGGAATACCCAATGGTTTGCATTTCAGCTGCACTGTTGGAATCTAAATACATCATTCCATCAGGGTTTCCTAAATTTTTGTCATCATACCTTCCTTTAGTGTAATCTCAATGTACACACCTCCCCTAAAAATCCAAACTCCAAAATGAACACAAATGAACAGTATAAGTGAAACTTGAAAAATAAGGTTCTTCACACCTCCTCATGGATTCTGACTGCCACTTCCCAAGGGAAATATATCACACAGTTAGGGAAACTGTAATACAGATAGATCCACATTGTTTGGAATATGTCTTTTTATGATATTTAGAATAATTATGGTGTATTAGAGAACTAACCGTTCAGCAAGTTTCAAATGTACCAGATACAAATGAAAAGGAATGAATAAACTATTTTAGAAGCCATTTTAAAATAATTTAAATTTTCAGAAAAATAGTTCTGATTTTAAAAACCAAAATATAGGCAATTTTAAAATGGTAGATAGGTTTTCAAAAAGATGGGACCATTAGTTTTCTTTTATTTAAGAAATAGAAATACTTTATCCTGGCAAAATCATCCTTGCTGTCCCCTTAGACACCTTCCATAGCTGCTTTGGAACATTTTCAGAGCAGATTTTGAAGGTACAGGGATGACTGAGGTAGAATTATTCCTTTTCTCATTTTCTCGTTGCTGATGGAAAGCATTCCATTTATGGAAATGGGATGTTGGAGTCTGCGTTACTGCACACATCTGGCATATATAGGTAAAAGAGGATAAACCCACCACATTCCTATTGGAGAAACAATGCTAGCTATGCAAATTATTTACTGTACATATATACAATGATTTAACATTTTTTAAATATTAGAAGTTAATGTTATCCATAAACTGCCATTAACATTTCTAATGTATTTGTGTGATTTTCTAACAACAGAGTTCTATGTGGGCTATGACAAAAATAATAATTCAAGCTCAGTATCACCAGAAGAATAATATTAGCAAGATAAGACTTGTGGGAATGAGGAGCAAGAAAGAAAGTTTTGAAAGAGTTGAGGAACTGCAGACAGATTGGATATAAAGATTAACAGGGACTATGCTATAGGTTATATAAATAGCTAAGGAAGTATTTAAGGGCAGAAGATCATATGGATATGGGGACAGCAGAAGATCCCATGCATGCAGGCACACAGTCAGACACACAGGCACACAGACACAGACACACAAACCAGATAATAGAAGAGCAACAATGGAATCTCTCTCATTCTGTGTATGTGTTTCTCTCTGAACCTGCCTAAACAGACTAGTAGAAGAGCAGAGCAACACTCCTCCAAGTACTCTAATAATTGGTTTTGTGAATGAATTGGCCAGGTTCCTTAGTTAAATTATCAGAACACACATAATTGAATTCCCCCCCAACCCTGTCTATATATGGAAGCAAAAATGCAGCACTATTTGAGACTGAAAAAAAAAATAGATTGCATATTGCCACTGAATCCCGATTCAATTTGGCATATTATATACATTTGAACTTTCAGTTGAAAGGGATATTTCAATCAAATTCCTTCAAATTAAATCACCTCTTGAAGTTTCCAAATGGCCCCAAATGATTATAATTAAGAAAGAAAGGAGTCAAGAATATTAAGGTTCTAATTCTGTATGCTTCTTATTGGGAACAAATAAGATCTGCTGAATTCAGTAAGAGTTATGTTTAAATATAACTTTGTAGAATTGTACTTACACATTTGT